TGAGAGAGAGAAGAGAGAAGAAAGAAGAGAGAAGAGAGAAGAGAGAGAGAGAAGAGAGAAGAGAGAGAGAGAGAGAAAGGGAAGGAAGGAGACAAGAAAGGAAAAGGAGAAGGGAATGAAAAAGAGATGGTGGACAGATAGATAGACAGATAGATAAACAGGTAAACAGATAGACACAGAGACAGTCAGATAAAGAATGAAATGCAGAAAATACAGATAGAAGGAAATAGGAGACAATCATTTGAATTAATTTCTCATTAATGTTATTGATCAGTCTGGAAACATAATGACCATTTTTCATTAATTACATTCATGAAAGTTGTTAGGTGAATATAGTCATGTATCTTATGATAGAGGTAGGCACAGTTTCATTACGAAGTTCATAATGGAATTAATTACCATGAAATAAAGAATATAAAGATTTACAAACAAAATAAAAAGATCCAATCGGTGATATTCCTTTAAATTGGTTTATCAAATCCTCTGAATTGGTTAAGCAAATAAGAACAACAAAACTCTACGGATTCTCGACGCCAGGTTTGACAAACTGAAAATAAAGACAACAATAAAAATATAAAAAAAAAGAATAAAGTCTGCCGTGGATTCAATTTCAACTTTTTATACATATCGACGGAGTAACTAAGCAATTATAAACGTTGGTAACTCCATCTCGTTATATGAAGCCATTCAAAAGTTTTTTTTTTCGAAACCCAACAAGGTCGTGTAACGAATTCCATACAGCATGGAGTTTCACAATTTGTCGATATTGAAACCAGAGCATTTTTATGTATTTCTTTTTTTTCCAATAACGTAAATAAGAAACATGAGATTGATACAATTTTTTTTAGAGGGTTGTGTAAAGCTCATGTGTAAAAGGTGGAACGTTCTCGTTAATATTAAAAAAAAAATATATATATATATGAAAAAGATAAACCGTCGACTTTGAGTTAGCACGAACCGTTGACAGTAATTAGTATTATAATGATAATGAGGAGCTAAATCTCGCGCAGTAGCATTTATGACGACACGATTATGATATATTATAACTGCAACGTCAGAAAGGAAAAAAAAAGCCCCGGATATTGAGAATAAAGAAAAAAAGTCATATTTAAATTCACTTTTTTATAAAACTCCGGAGAGACGGCGACAAAAAAAAAAAAAAAAGAAAAAAGAAAAAAAAAAATCGGATATAATTAGAAATTCGCAAAATCTCGGCAAAACTATATATCATCTGTTTTACGATGACACGATTTTCCTCTCACGTTACATTTCAGAATTTTGAAGATTTTTTTTCTTTTTTTTTCCCTTTGTTAATACCACATCACATGGACCAGCTGTTTCGTGTTCCCGCCAAAACCTCTCTGGCAGGAATTGGCGAGAGGACGGGGTTGTGTAAAAGGGAAATTCCTTTCTTTCTCTCGCTCTTTTCCCTCTATTTTTTTCCTCGGATTTTATATCAGGATGCCAAAATCGATTATTTTCACCGCAATAAACCTTTTTTTATTTTATTTTATTTTTTTAAAGGGATACGAAAAGCAATTATATGTAGAAGCGATCGTGGTCTAAATACGCCTCACATAATAGCGTTTCCATTTTTTTCCCCCGTCGCTGCGGCCAAATTATCGCAATATCCTTCTTTATGATAAGTCTTTTAACCTTTTCTTATTCGTCGAAATAAATTAATTACTGCAGCATGATTCTGCGGGGAAGTAAAAAAAAAAAAAAAAAAAAAAAAAAAAAAGGGAGAGAGAGAGAGAGAGAGAGAGAGAGAGAGAGAGAGAGAGAGAGAGAGAGAGAGAGAGAGAGAGAGAGAGAGAGACTGAAGAAGAGAGAAAGAGAGAGAGAGAGAGAGAGAAAAGTAAAAAGGTAAAAAAAGAAAAATATATATGAATTCACGACCTGGGGATTTTTAGAAGTAAGAAAACGGCGCCTCCATTCCAAGTTTAGTGATTGAAGGAGAGGGTCAAGGACAGCGTAGAAACTCGTCAGTAAGGAATTACGTCATGATAAAGTATTTCGACATGAACTTTCGGCAATAAAACGAATTAAAAAGCGCCACCTCACCTCAAAAGAACTTTTTTATTTTCTTTTTCTTTTTTTAAAGAGGAGTGAGAAATGTGGTGAACGAGAGAGGAAGTCACGGGCTTACGTGTGGATAGAGCTTTCGTTAGGAGGTTTCGTGACAGATGCCGCCGATTTAGTTACGTCAGGAGAGAGGAAGAGGGAGGGGGAGAGAGGAGGAGAGGAGAGGGGGGGAGGAAATGAGGGAGGAGGGAGAGAAGGAGAAGGAGAGGGGGAGGAAGGAAATGAGGGAAGGAGGAGGGGGAGGAATGAGGGAAGGAGGAGAGGGAGAGAGGAAGAGAGAGAGAGGAAGAGGGAGGGGGAGAGAAGGAGAAGGAGAGGGAGAGAGGAAATGAGGGAGGGGGAGAGGGAAGGAGAGAGATGGAGAGGGAGAGGGAGAGGGAGAGGCAGAAGAAGAGGGAAAGAGGGAGAGAGGAAG